CAAAATGGATACCCTGACATTCTGCTCTGAGTGGCATCATCACTTAGATTGCAGACAAGAATATGTTGGAAAACCCATGACCAGATTTTATCTGACATATAGATTCTTTCATTTTAAATTCTCTCTTTAATTCATGTTTAAATACTCCTTGGGTATTTTATCAACTTCCTAAATTAGAGCTTATGGTTTCCCTTTCTTCCTTTATTCTTCCTCATTTCACATAGCAGGATTAGGGAGCTACATACTCAGTAATGACTTCACTAGCTATTGAGACTCATTGGAACAGTTTTAGGTCAAGTGAATGAATAATCAACAGCAGAAAAGGTATCAGAATTGAAAAACTTCAGAAGTCTCTAAAGAGACTTTACTTTTTGAATCATAGCTCTTTTCTGCATATTGATACTTACTCAATCTTTATTTGAAAGCATATTTTTTTAAAAAATTTAATTTATCGATATTATTTGAAAGCATTTAGAGTAAAATTCAATAATGCCTTTTGGGACACATCACTGACATAACCAAAACATCACCTATTCCTGTGTGCTTTCAAGAATAATAGCTTTGCAACAGCTTACAAGAGAAAATCATTCAGTTAAGATAGATTAGGAAGTTCATTTGACTCTGTACCCTTTACAAATAAATTATGGCCAGACAATTTCATTCAATTTGCTATGATAAAACTAAGCTGATTAAATTTCTTTAATGTTGATTTCATGATAAAAACTAAGCTGATTAAATTTCTTTAATGTTGATTTGCGCTTGATTTGTATTTTGAGATTCCATACTAGGTTTCATTCTCTTTTCTAAAATATATTTTTTATTAAAATAAATGATAGAAAATCATTTCCAAAAATTACACACATACACAAAGTATACATTAAGGAAAATGATTTTAAATTTGGGGGGAGAAAAATATAAAATATTTTTCATAATTAAGAAGATATTACATGAAGTACCTCAATAAGCAGCTTGAAATTGCCTCTAACTAGGAAAAGGCAAATTCTTTTTTCTTTAAAACTCCTTTCTAGTACAGACAATTTTTTTTAAATCATGGTATTTAAAATTTTAAATAAAGTAAGCAGCTATTAAGATCTCAAAGTATTTATATACAAGACTTAAACATATGTATATTCATAGTTTGGTCACTTATATATAGAAGTGTTGGCTGATAAGCTTCAATCTAATATCAGGAAAAAATGTGTGAAAGACTTTGAAAGGATAAAAAATAATTACTATGGGTCCTATCTAGTGCATTCTTCAGAGTTATCTGTGCCTTTTAATTTTCTTGAGATATTTTACAGCTCTATAAGTTGGGAAAAACTATGAATAATGCAAATTATGCTTTTTTATAGAAATGTAAATGAATTTTGTCCAGTGAGGTTACAATTGAAGTTTTGCATCCATCTATAAATTTATTCTAGCATTCCTGATTGCATACACACACACACACACACACACACGCACACACGCACACATACACACACAGAAACACACATACACATACACACACAGAAACACACATACACATATATGCATGCTCTTTGAATTCTCATTTGAACTGCTTATAACATCATATTGGTTTCTTCATTAACAAGATAAATAAAATCTTTGGCATATGTTCATTTATGTTTGTATGAGTCACGGTTTCATGTACTTAAAAAATGTCCTTTGACAACTAATGAAAGTTAAACTTACTAAATATAGGTTCAAATATTTTGTGTCAATATTAATTTTTAGAGCTCTTACCTCACTAAATTTGGTTTAAAAACAAGTCATCATGGAGCAAATTTTGCATTTGTATGAGACAGCTTTGTCCAAAATATGTTCTGATGATTATTTTCTGAAATATTTCTTGAAAAGAAACTTTTTGTGGTAAAATACATGATTAAAGTGCAATGTTTCTTTCTGGTAGGATCCCTAGTGGTCCTTATCATGTGACTGCCCACTGAGACTTAAAGGCCCTTTCTGAGTTCATGTTTCATAAGCAACTGCACCTTTTACTACTTTCCTTCATACACCCACTGCTATAGGTAAGCAGTATTTATTATCTCCTTCCTCTCCCTTATTCTGAACTTTTCAATTTTCTCATCCTCTCCTCCCTGCCTATAACAATCTCAACTGATCTCTCTGCTTTTCCAAATTCTAATCCATAACTGTACTTCGCCCACCTCTACTTTTCGTAACAATCCAAATGTATGCTTATGTTTGCCACTGGGCTGAGTTCTTGGAGGATCGAGAAAACCTTATTTATCTTTATATGGCAAGGCAGGGAAGAATTAAAATGAATTAGTAAGTTGGTGTTTACTTAAGCCTTCTCTTTGAAGGTTTTGGTGAGGTACAGGAAATGCTATACCAGAATATGGCACCTTGAGTATTTTAAATATTGAGTATTTTAAACTGAAGGAAACTGATAAATCTGCACAAACAAAAAGTCTCTCTGAACTTCTCCTACCTCCTTTTTTGAAAACCATAATGTGATGGGGGTTCTGCTCTATACATGGAGAGAAGGAATATTACAGAGAGGTCAAGAAGAATCTGAAGAAACAGTCTTTGCTAAATTCTCCTCAGTTTATTATCATTAGATCATAACCACTTTTCATTCAATCATACTTCTACATGACTGTCCATTCTTCATCAAACCTAAGAGTATAAAAATGCACAGTTTTCCCTAGATCTTTGGATCTTCATTTCTGAAGACTCCCATGTCATGTAAAACTTTGATTAAATAGGTTTGCTATGCTTTTCTTTTGTTAATATGGTTTTTCTTGGTTGTGTCAGCCATGAACCTTGCAATGGGTGAGGAAAGAAATCTTTTCTCCCCTTTAGTTTCCCCCATTACTTTCACCTACTTATTTTCTACCAGAAATTTTAATTCTGTCTCTTGATAGTTCTTGTATTACTGCTTGCATTATTATTTAAGTCTGGTAGTTTTACTGACTTATGCCTCCTCTTCCACCTAGATTTTCAGTTTCTTGGGCCAAATGACCTTTTCGTCTCTACATCACATTCATAGGAATGTTCAGAAGCTGAAGATTACTACTTGAAAGATTTAAATTGAAGGTAAGTACTCCTTAGTAGAAGTACCAATGATCACAAAGGGACAGTGAAACAATGTGCAAATTTATTGCCATGAAATAAGTACTTGTGCTAAGATGGATACCTACTCTAATGATTTGTGAAGCTATTTTCATGGCTTGGTTAATTTTTACTGTATATTCAATAATTCCAGTTATATATTTTCAATATACAAATATTCAGAAAAAATATACATTGTTTCTCTTTCCAATGGCTTAAGTATTGAGTCTAAATACGTAAAAAAAAAAAAAAAATCACTCATCTTTCTCAGAGGCTATTATATGACTTAAATGGGCTTATATATAAACATCACTAATTGAGATTTTTATCTATTTTCCTCAATAAACATTTATTGAATAAATTTAACTAAGTACTACACTAGGCACTGAAATAGAAAGACTACCTTATGAAGGACTTCACAAGCTAATCGTGAAATAGGCCCTCTTGTGATAACTGTTAGAATTGAGATTTAAATAAAGTGCTGTGAAATCACCACAAAATTAAATGAAGTAATTCAAACTGAAAGAGCAGTTCAGGAGACATTAAAAGTGAAAAGGCCATTTGAGTTGGTTACTAAAGGAAGAATAACAAAAGAATGATTTTTTTCCAGTGGTTGTGCAGTTTATGATGGGGCAAATGGGGTGAAACACAGTCACACACAGTCAAGCATCAGCTTCTTGCTCCCTGATTTGTCTCCCTGGAGGGAATGTGTCTCCCTGGGTTGTGTTTCCCTGGGATGTGTCTCTTTGGAGGAAAGAGACTTTTCCTTTATATACAAGCACTATCCCCTCACCAATTTGAACACTCAAAGCATTTTAATTTGCACAATAACATACAGGTTTGTGTTGCACAATGATATGTGGACGACAGTAACATTGTGGGCTTGTAATGCCCTTGTGGAGTGCATATTTGAGGAAAAAGGGGATAGCATCAGTAAAGTCATATGGATAAGAAAGTACAAAGTTGGGTAAGGAATAGAGAATAATTTATTCTGTTTAGGAGCAAAGATTGCTATTAAAGGAAGAGACTACAGCAGAACATTTAGTGTGAGATGAGTCTAGACTGGAACAGGGCACAATGTCTGAAATGCCACTCAGAAGAGATTAGTATTTATTCTGTGGGCAATTGCAAGTTATAAACATATTTAAATAAGAAATGATATAATCATAACTTTATTTTAAAGATAGTTGAGGTTTGTAGGCTAGAAAACAGACATGGGTTGAAGAAAGGATGGAGACTGGAGATGAAGATTTCTATCGGAAGAATAATGTGAATTCTTAGAGAGATTATGAGATTCCGGATTAGAATAGAAGAGGTGAAATGGAGAAGAAAGGATCTCTTTAAGGCTCCTTTTAGAAGTAAAATAAATAGGAACACAGATGTTGGCAATGAGGGAGACTGAGTTGCAAAGGATTCAGATTTCTAGGACTGGTCAAGAGGCTGATGAAGATGCCATTTAAGATAATAAGAACTACTATTAATTAAAAGGCAGGTTTCATTGGATGAGATTGGTAGGAGATGGAGATAGAGTTATTTTATTGTCTAATCATTGGTTATATATTAGTACATAACTTGTCCTTTTTTTGTTTCCATTTTACAAAGTAGAATGTATCATGTTATAAACAAAATACTATTTATTTGATCTCAACATTTAGTTTGCAATATTCACATGCAATTGGCTTAAAAACTTCATGATACCTAAACTCTACCTACCTAAATTCCTTCATTTGTTTAAGTAAATTCTTTTGATATTTTTCTGCTTTTAGTTTTTTCTGAACGATGAGACTTTTCTCTTTTAGGACAGCCTCATTCTGCTTCAATCGGTCGACTTTAATCATTCCTTTGATCAAAAGAGTGCGCTCATTATTTAAGTTTTGAACTAATAAACGATCTGCAGCCTTTTGGGTTTTCTCTTCCAGAAACAGAGCTCTTCTCTTTCTTACTTTTTCAAAATAGTCAAATCTGTTCTGCCGAAGTTGTCGTAAACCACCCTGAAGTGTCTCATTATCTTTTTCAATTAACTTTTGTGCAACATATTTTTTCTCATTTAAATATTCATTAACAGTTATGCTAACTCTTTCTTGGGCAACTTGTGCCATGGCTACAGCTGTTTTCTTTTCTTTATGGCATTCCTGCTTCTTTTGTTCTGTGTAAAATTTATCAATTTCACTAAGGGTTCGGAGTTTCATACCAGCTCTGTGTGTTGTAAAAAATTCTCTTCTTATATTCCTGTCCAACAGTGTGTCTTTTTTAATTATTCGTTTTGGATGAGTGGTAGAAAATGGCCGGGAACGTATAGGAAAAGAATCTTGTTTTTTCTCTTTCAATACTGCAGCATACTTCAGTGAATCTAAAGTGTATAAGGGTAG